TTTATTTCATTTTAACAAAAATTTTTCATTTGAATTTTCATGACTATAGCTTTATTTATTTATTTTTTTTTTTCAATTTTTGCCAATTTTATTTTTCATGAATTTTTTTTTTTCGCATTTAAAAGTGCTTTGTATTTACTTTTTTTTTTTTTTTTACTTTTATGATTTTTTTTTCGGTGTCATTTTATTTTCCGTTATTTCATTTTCATTTTATCAATTTAATATTCCATAATTTTTTACCTATAATCCTTTCATCTAGTTGATTTGATTTTTTATTAATTTTCTATGATTCGTTTATATATTCTTTTCATTATTATTTGTTCCGCATTTTGTTTTCAATTATTTCATTTGCATTCTTTCAATTTAATAAAAGTTCCATAAACTGTAAATATTTGCAATTAAATTTATAACTTTTTTATTTAGTTTACTTGAATTGATTTGAAAATATTTATTGTTTTAATTTGTTTGGTAGGAATTTCATAAATTATATAAATATATATTGCACTATCTGCTTTTGGCCACGTTTTGCTCAGCCTACTTTCAATTTGGTAAGAGAGCGATAATCTTATATTTGATTTAATTCGATTTTCGCTCAAGTTGGCCAAGGCCATTAAAATTTGGATAGCAAATCGAATAATATTTTCTATCGAGCCAAAGAAGAAAATACAACTAAAAATATAATAAATATTATTCGCTCTCTCTCTCTCTCTCTTTCACTCACACTATTCAGCTAGACTCTCTCTCTCTCTCTCTCATCAAGCAAATACATAAATACAAACACAAATAGTCAGGCAGATAAAAGAGAAAGAGAGAGAGAGAGAGAGAAAAGCAATGCGAAAATGCGCCACAAAACACGTACAATAGCTCAAATAATACAATAACAAATCGCCACAGTGAACGCTGAATGCTGACGGAAAATCGAAGAAGGAAAATCGCTGTAACTTGGCAAATGGTTTTGGGCAGAGGGAAAACAGCTTTGAAGTGAAGCTGAAACTGGAGGCTGAGGCTGCCTTGGCTTTTGTCTGTGGGGCCCGTGTGCCCGAGCATTTGCTGCGTCCAGGGGCACACGCACACACACACACTCACACACAAGTTTTCGTAACACACACATACACACAGAAACATGAAAATCTACTCAGCTGCTGCGAAGGGTGCAAAAGTATGTGTGCGTGTGCCTCTGTGTGTGTGTGCGAAGCGAGGGTGTTATAAGCGGTTAAATTTCGAACATGCCCTGGCTTCCTCTGGCCCAGCTCCTTGCCTTTTCTTCTCACACACAGGCACAGACACATTTTTACCTACGTCTCAGTTTCGTTTCCCCTTTGGCCCTGCCCGGCTCTAGTTGTGTGTGCACGCGCCGTTGGCGCCGTCCTTACCGCCAATTTCCCATCGTCATGCTCGGCTCTGCTCTGCTCTGTTCTGCGCCCCGCTTAAGCCTCAACCCTCTGCCGCCTGCTGTTTGTCCTTTGCGCGACCCCCAGACCAATGCCACGCCCCCTGCCCTTACACACACCCCGCGTCTGTCCACAGTTTGCTCCACGTGCGTTTCGTTTTTGTTTTTTTTTTTTTNCCACTAGGGGCGTGGCAAATCGGAAAATGCATTTTCCGATATACCAGAAATCATGTTTGTTGAAGAGCTAGAAAGCTGAAACTTGGTATGTAGGTCCGCGTTGACCACCCAAGATCACGAGCTATGGCGGATATATCTACGCCCATTGGGGGCGTGGCAAATCGGATAAAACTGTATCTCCTAAAGTTGTAAACCTAGAATGCTGAAATTTTGCACGTCAGCTAATGGTATGATTCTATAAAGTCTGAAGATAAATTATAAGTCTACGCCCGTTGGGGGCGTGGCAAATCGGACCTGAAGATATAGTGATTTTTTAAATTCTCCTATATTTTGGACACTATTGATGGCAGAGACCTCAAATTTTGTATATATACTCGGACTGATCACCCAAGACCAAAAAGTTTTGTCGGATATATGTCCGCCCACAGGGGGCGTGGCAAACCGCAAAAGTTTATATCTCCTAAAGTATAATAGCTAGAAGCTTCAAATTTGGATAGTTGAGTTACTGGTAGCCTCCTCTATCGATTCCCCAAAAATAATTTTTACGCCTCTTTAGGGGCGTGGCATATCGAAAAATACCCTGTAATTTTCACATTTTTTTAGGGTAAGCATTCAAACTTTGCAGTTAGGGTAACGTTATCTCTTTCTAAAAACTGACAAAAAATGAGGTG